AAAAAAAAAAAACAACAAAAAAAAACCACAAAAGGAGCAAAAGGAGAGGAGAGAATTTGGATGTCTGTTTTGATTAACTGTGCAGTGGCAGGAAGCTCATATTTATCAGATCAACATTCTTTTGGATTTGATTAGGAGCTAAAAAGATGCATGTAAAAAGTTCTGTCAGGACAGCTTGGCTCAGTATCATAAGTAAGAATATATTTATTGACTATGTTTTTAACAGTGCTGCAAAACTAGGGGGGATCCCTCTGGAGGAAGTCTATACCGAGCATTGTATGGAAACTGTTTTGAAGAAATAATTTCAAATACCATATGTGTTGAAACACATCATCGTTCAGCTGCAAAGCTATTTGTAATAAACAATTTAAACTGCTTTAGTTTGAAGTTGTGGTACTGAAATGGGCTAGCTTATTCTCAGATGCATGTTACTTTGAAAATTTTGGATTAGCATCAACAGAGGCAGTTAACTTTCACTCTTATTTATCTTATTTATTTCAAATGTGTTTTGAGAATTTTTTTTCATAACAAAATATACTTATTTTTTCCCTTTTTCTTAAAAGTTAAGTTTAAATTCTAAAGACGTGTGCTTAATGTCCCTGTTGTATTCAAAGTGCCACTCCTGAATCTCTTTACCCTTTGCAGCCATTTTATGTAACAACTAGTCTGAAATGTTTATGTTTTGAACCATAATAGTTATTGCATAGTTTTACTATGTTCAGCTCTGGCTTTGCTGAAGAATATCAATGGGGTATTTTAAACGGTATTTTATTGATCTTAGTGGGCTAAACAACGTGTTTAACAGAACTATTCCCTTCAGCCAGAGAATTTGCAGAAAGAGCAATTGAGAAACAGAAATCTGCCTTCATTCGTTGGGGTGTAATGGCAGATTGGGCCAACTGCTACCTTACATTTGACCCAAAGTATGAAGCAAACCAGCTGAGAGTCTTCTATAAAATGTATGATAAGGTATGTTGAACTTTTATTGAACTGTGTTTTGATTTGTCGTGAGTTTTGATTCTCCTAACTTTCTTTCTTCCCCTCCCTTTCCTCTTCAGGGTTTCATTTATCAGGACTATAAACCTGTATTCTGGTCCCCTTCAGCAAAGTAAGGATCAATTTTCTATTTTGTCTTCAATATTTTAGCAAGGATATCGATAGCTTTTCGTGTTCCACTGTGTTAACTTTAGTTTGATGTCTACCCAGAACAGCTTTGGCTGAGGCAGAGCTCGAATACAATGACCAGCACGTCAGTCGGTCTGTGTACATGAAGTTCCCGCTGTTAAAGTCACCGCCTAAGCTGAGTTCTGTGCTAGGTACGACCTCTCTATGGATTTAAAGACTGACAGCTTTTATTTTTGTTCTAATTGTGAGTAAAGTACTTCTAATTTACATCTGTAGATGGATCATCCCCTGCTAGTGTGCTAGTCTGGACCACGCAACCTTGGACTGTGCCAGCCAATCAAGCAGTTTGTTACATGCCAGATTCAGCGTAGGTGTCTTTAACTTGGTTCAGTGATCTGTGTCAGTCCTTTATCGATATTTAGCAGCAAAGTTAAAATGTTCTGGACTACCATTACAGTTTACTTAAGCCGTCTTTTTTGTATTTGGTTTGCTTTGCTTTGCTTTGTGTTTTTTTGTTTGTTTTTTTAAGTGGCACAGTTGTGAGCTTTGTTCTATATCTATTAGCATATTGATTTCTGCTTAATTTTTTTTTACTTCATGATGCAAAGTTACCTTGAAACTCTTTGGAGATTTACAAACGAATTGGACATGTAAAACATACTTGTGTGTCTTTTCATGAGATGAAGCATATAAAAAACCTGCAGCTTTGTGGTGTTTCTTTATTTAGTATCACACATGCATGTTTGTATTGCAGATACTCAATTGTGAAATGTAAAACTACCGGAGAACAATTAATTCTTGCTGCAGATAGAGTTGAATCTACAGCTGCTGTTCTGGACACACAGTTTGAGGTTATATCAACATGTAAAGGTAGGTTTTAACATCGTTAATCTTAAATTGCTTGGAAATCTCCTGCTAGGTTTCTGAAAACTGCCTTAGTTTTGATGTATTAGTAAGTTTGTTTATAATTTAAGGACATGCTTTACTAAAATAATACAAAGAGGAGTAGTCGTCTGTCAGATTTACTATTAGTGTATTGTAGCTAAAATTTTCATCTATAGATTTCAGATTAATTTTAAAATCTGTATTCATGCTTGGAAAAATGAAACGTGAAATGAAAGTCTCTTCAGTATGAAAATCTTATTTACGCTGAATGCAGTTTGTCTTCCCATCCATTGCGGATGAGAACAAGGGACAAATTACAAGTATGGCTGTTGCAGTATCATAGGTGGCTGTTGTCTGGACAAACTAAAACAGTTGAGTTTGCATCCTAACAAACTAGACAGTGATATTTCTTGATAGCAGACTTGGGATTCAGTGTCATGAGTTGGGATTTAGTGTCTCATTTGTGAGCTTTATTCATTTGCCTTTATCAGTAATTCAGTGCTGGAAATATGCACATCTGAAGGAGGTGAGATATCTGTTTCTATGACTTTACAGGTAGCTTTGGTGTCTTTCCATGGCTGCTTTTTCAGAGGAACTCTTGTTTTTACCTGATGGTAAAATTACCTGGAGGTGTTTTTTTCTTACAGCTTCTACCTTCTTGAATGGTATTATTTGCAGATAACATACAACAGTGGAGTTGGACCTTCTTAAAAAGAAATTTCATGTTGGAACCTCTTCTTTTTATCTTCCCATATATTCAGTAATTAATTGCATTTGTTACCTTTCTCTTTTTGTATACCTAAGTGTCTGACAGCAGTTCCTAAACATGTTCCTTCTAAGAGGAAAGCATTTGGTGAAGGCCATTTTGTCATAGGAAGCATTCCTTGAGCTCTGTGATTCTTGACTTTCAGCAAGACTTTATTACTAAGATTTCTTCAGGTTTTTTTTAGTCTTAAATTGTCCCTTGTTTCATTTGTGCTGTACTCTCTTTATTAGAATGTAATTTGGGGAATTTAAATTAATTGTTAATGATGATATTAATACTTAGTGGCAAAACTTGGAGTAAATCCCAAATTCAGGGGTTTTAGCCTACTAAATAAATATGGAGATTTGTTTCCAGAACACTCAGATAGTTATCCCCAAGGAATGGGAGTGTGTGGAGTGTTTCTATGTGGAATGGCACTACTCAAGGAATGCCACTGTCTAAGGTAGAAAAAAACTTGTTCTTCAAAAAACAACTTTGCACAGAATGAGCAACGCAGAGAATTGGGAAGCATTTGGACTGGGACCCACAGACCAGAGAAAGAAATAGCACATCTGAAGAGTATCCTGTACATACACTTGATCAGTTTTCTTTTTCTGTTCTCTGATAAAAGAAGCTGGTTGTGTGAATTGTGTTACCCTATTTTATCTTCGTTTTTTTTAATTTTTCAGGTACAGATTTGGTAGATGGTTCTTGTGCTCATCCCACAATTCCTGGCAAAGTCTCTCCTTTGTTACCTGCAAATCATGTGACAATGGCAAAAGGAACAGGATTAGTTCATACAGCCCCAGCCCATGGTATGGAAGACTACAGTGTAGCTTCCCACCACCAGCTACCCACGGTATTCTATTTTTTCAGCTGTTGCTCTTGATTTCCTGCAACTGTTTGATTGTGTGCCTTTAAAATGATTGTTGCAATTTGTGCATAAAACTTGAAAATGTTTTGAAGCGTTCACAGAAGTGTATCACTAATGTTCTTCAGGAACACAAGACTAACTTTAAAAGAAGTGTTATCAGGATAAAATAATGAAGTTTTTCTTCTGCTAAGTTAAAGCTTACAGGGGAGTGGTAGAACAGAATCAGATTTTTCTGCTTTCTATGTGGTTTTGTTTTTAAAAGGATAACACAGAGAATAATTCTCAGATATTGATGCTCACTACTCAGAATTGTCTTCTACATGCAGACCAGTAAATCACAAGTTATGTAGGTCATTACTGCTATTCTCTTTTAGCAAAGCTTGTTTTAAACATGTACATAAATACAGCTCAGTTATGCATGGTCATTTTGTGATTAGTTGGAATGAAGATGCAGGATATGGGGGGGGTTAGGTTTGGTTTTGTTTTTTGCTGTTAATATGAAAAGTCATTGACATACCAGTGACTTGATGTAAGAGAGTTGTGGTATATCTGCAAATGCAGTGGTGCTCATTTCTTCTGACACATAAAATTCACTTGCCTGATAAGTTACTAAACTGCAGTTCATAAAATCTGAAGTGCACCTAAATATTTTGTTATTTGTCATAAAAGGAGTTACTCAGCAGAGTATTTAACTGGCATCTGAATACCAAAAAGATAATTAATTACCACATGGTATTTTATTGACATGATTAATATATTGATTTTTAGGATTGCCTTGTGGATGAAAGGGGATTTTTTACTGAAGCTGCAGGTCCTGAACTTAAAAACAAGAATGTCCTTGAAGAGGGCAATGAAACCGGTGAGTATTTGATGTTTGACCACTTGTTGCTTTATCAGGCACAGTCCTGCAGGTCTGTTTTGTGGGTTCATATAAACTGAACGTATAACAGTAGCGATGTGTTCAAATTGGATTTTAATCTTGCCTCGTTTTTTTTCCGTCAGTCATTCGGATGCTTCAAGCAGCCGGGAGTTTGTTGAAAGAGGAGAAGTATGTGCACAGTTACCCCTATGACTGGAGAACTAAAAAACCAATGATTATTCGGGCCAGCAAGCAGTGGTTTGTAAACACAGCAAATGTGAAGGCTGCAGCACAGGTACATAATTTTACTTTCTTATGGGACATTTCAAGGCAACTGATTCTATTTGGCATCAGCAAAACAATCTTGCTGTGGTTCACTCCCAAATATATTCTCTAGGGTTTTATGAACACAAGTTGAAAAGTGTGGATTATTTGTTAGAGTTATGAATGTTATCAGGTTTTTTGTCAATATTGATATAATCCATGGTAAATACATTGACTGGCATATTTACTCATTGTTTTTACAGATACATAAGTTTCTTAGAGATACTGATATTTTTCCCACAAAATATCTTTTAAAATACCGTTTTTCAAGGAATTAAAGCAGAAGAGACAAATTTATCTCTATCAAAATTATCTTTTTTGTTTTGATAGCCTCATGTGGCCAGACATCTCTGTTTGCTCCCCTGCTAATTTTGTCTCAGTCCTATTTTAAGTGACTCAAAATCATATTTTTTTTTTAATATGCAGTGCTCTTTGAAATTATGTACATCCACACAGAAAATTCAGACCAGCACCTTAGGCTGTCTTGGGTAACAGTGATTTCATTCTAATTAAGGCACGAGGTGTATATTACATATTAATCTTTATCTAGAATGAATGAAAACATGATGGTTACTCAACAGGGCTGGGAGTGAGTGGTAGCCCACACTCAGTACTACTCAGTATGTATCGAGGTGGGATTTCAAAGCAGATAACAGCACAAGACACAGATGAGCTTTTAAACTTCAGGTGAAGTTACTGATGCCATTCTTAACTCACTTCAGGGTGTGTCTGCTGGAGAATCAGAGTTGGAGAAAAGCTTTGGGTTTTGGTTGGGGAAATGTACAGTATATACAGTGTTAAGATTGAAGAGCACCAAGCAGTGAAGTAAACAAACATGACAGCTGCCCAAGAGAACGTTATTTAATACTGGGAGTGGGAGCATAGGCCTCTATTGTTTTTTACTGGCAGCATAAACAGCGTTTGTGTAAATGCTGAAGTGGGTTCAACAGTTCACTGTCTACTTTGTAGGACGTGCTGAAAAAAGTGAAAGTTATTCCTACGTCTGCAGTGAACAGGATGCTTGAAATGCTGGACAGAAGGACGTTTTGGTGCATATCACGGCAAAGATGTTGGGGTGTCCCAATTCCTGTTTTTTATCAGAAGAACACAGGAGAATGCTTGATAAACAGGTATTTATCTAGCTTTATATATTGAGAAATGAAAGAAGGAGCACTGTCTGTTGTGCTGCAGTTACATGATATTGTAAACTTCTTACTATTTTAAGTATAAATACAAACTTTTACTTGTATTTGTTTATACACAGAATTAATTTAGCTATAAATTAGAACAGTCAACAACTTGTTGCCGGATGTTACTTGCATGTAATAGGAACCAATTTACTTAGACATTA